AGCGACTTTAATAGGAACAAGAAGAAATTTCATTGAGGAAAATCGTCTGACTCATCGAACGATCATCGAGCAATTCCACGGATACCAAATGGTAGCTTTCTGTGCCAACGCCTCACGATTAAAATGGATTTAGGTTTAGGAAGTTCGTACATTAAAGACACTGTTGGGCATGGATGTGCCAAGTGGTAGGTTCGTTGGACTTGGCAGTCACGGCTGCGTTTGCTTTCGTTTTCGGCCGATCGGTTCTTCTCGGCCGACTTTACGACATAGCCAGCCTTGTGCAGTGAAACTATTTACAAGTGCCGTAACCATTCACCTCTCGCCGGTATTTTCATCGAGACGACGTGTTCCGTCATTGATAGCCGACCGACATTTTTGCACGACGCGTCACGATTAGATACTCTTTTCTCTCGTAACTGAGAAACAATAGAAATTTATTCCCTTTCCCTTTTTATCTTCCATCCTATTTCTAATCTAATTTTTGAATATCGATGTGTAATTATACAAAAATATGATTTTTAATTGAATTTTTGAACCGAAGAATTAAATATTATGGATAATGATGGAGGAAGTTATTCAAGAAATCGTAGGTAGTTGATGATTGGATTATTTTCTGCATATTTAAATACAATTGAAGATTGAAAAATTGATTTAATGTAGATAAAGATACAGTTATTCGTATGATGTTAAGTATATTTGCATTTCATTTGTATGCTCCATGTGTTAGAAAACATATGGTCATGTTGTGAAACATGTCGCTTTCCTCTCTTTCACATAGTAAAGAATAGTATTGGTAATACATATTGCTGTAGATATAGTAGATGATGGAGTTGACTTATTTCGAGATATATCGTGGTATTATTAGACTTAAGTTCAATGTTTGATGAGAAGAAGTCATGATGGGCCAGGATTTTAGTTTGATGTTCCTGTTTTACACACATGTGGCACATGTGATAATTCGTAGTTGGTGGATTTGGAGTATATGTTACAAAATTTTAATCAGACTGTTCTTATATATATTTTAAGTGTTGTACATTTAAAGGATAATTAAATTCAAATTAATTATTTATCGAAAAATTATTAATTGTTCAAAATTTAAAAGATAGAATAATTTATTACATTTAATTTTATTTTTTTGATATTCATAAATGGATATAAACTAAATAGAAAGTGAAGAGGGGGAGAGAAAGAGAAAGGTGGTCCTATTGGTGTAGGGCTGTGGCTAAACTTTACTGTTAGCTGGCGCTGGAGCAGTCAGCAACCAGTAGCAGCTAGCAGCATCCCGCTCGATCAATACGCAGCGCAAGCTGCGAGCCACAACTACGTGAAAATACGGCAACGACTACTATGATCGTCACCGACGAAGACGATGACACGACTACTACGTTCATGACGAGGACTGCCTACGTACGATACCACGACATAACGGCTTGAAGCCTGAGGGAGGGAGGAGGAGGAAAAGGGAGGAGGACGTTGCCAGGCGACGGAAGCTGCCTACCGCCAGAGTTCATCGTCCTCCGGCATGTTTCTTCTCCCTTCCACCCACCTATTCACCCTGCGTTTATCCTTCTTCTCCGCTCCCTCCGCGCCACTCGACTTTGTCTTCTCCTCGCTCTTTCTCGTTTTTCATGCTCCCTCTCTCTTTTTTCCCTCTCTAACCCCACGCATTCCCCCTCCTCGATGCCTCGCTGTTGTACCACTCCCTGATTCCCTCTCTGACTTTTCTCTTTTACATTCTCATTCCTCTTTTCGTCTCATCTCTTTTTCTTTCTACGTATGGCTCTTTTTCTTTGGGTTTTGTATTTTCTCCAGTCGGTTCGGTCAAGTTTTTTTCTCTACTGCGATTTTCTTCACACTATTTCTACGATCTTATCGAAGACTAGTAGCCCTCTCTTAAGGGTCTCCTCGAAGAAAATTACTTTCCTTGATTTTCTCTTCCTTTGATTCGCTTTTCGTTCTCTTTCGTTCTTCCTCGTTCTCGTCTTACACGTTCATTTTTCTTTTTCGCGTCAGTTTGTTTTCCCTCTTCAACCTCCTAGTTCCTCCTAGTTCTTTTCAAACGTACGAACGCGCATGCGCGGTTGACTTGTGTATGTACACATCCGATTTGACTAAAAAAAATCACGAATGAAAAGCAACTGTCTCACGTAATTTATACTATCTCTATCTTTCTTCTCTGTTCGATTTTTCATCTTTCGAAAATATGTTTTTCTGCGATACTCCATCGTAAGTTTTTTCTCTTTCTCTTTGAATTATTCTCTTTCGAATACGTATAGACGTTTTTAACGATCGTCCTCAATTACCAGTGCACCACGATCATCGCGCCATCTACAAAACCGTAAACTCGCGAATTAATCAGTACCGACCGCGTTCATCGATTTTATACTAGAGGATATTTAATTCCACTACAGCATATCGGATTTTCGCTCTTTCTGCTTAAGTCATTCTACTCCGTTCGAATACGGCTTCAGCACCCACCATATCCTTTTTTTTTTTCCATTTTCTGTCAGTGTTTGTTTGAAATATATCCCACGAGTTCAATGTCCAGCACGAAGGTTCGTTTCCAATAATATTTCAGGGTACATACCAAGCATCTTCTCCATATCCCTTTATCTTTCCTGCTACCATTGCACATGTGTATCGTTTCTTCTTTTTTTGCCCTCCAGTTTAAGCTTCTCTTTTTTTTCGATTTACTCTTCCCCTCGATTGTTTGTCTTTTTTTTTCTCTCTCGTTCTCTTTCCTTCTTCGCGTTTCCCTAGACTCTCCTCCCTGAAATTCGCATTGGCATACATCCTCTACCACCTCTTCGTTTCCCTCTCGTGCTAACCTCCTTCCTCTCATCGTTCTTCTTCGTCCATCTTCCACCCCTTGTGCCACCCGTTCGTACTCGCCATTATCACGACGCGCTCACATTGCAAAACAACCGTTGCACCTCCGTTGACGTCGTCGTCGTCATCATCGTCTTCGTCGTCGTAAATGTCGACGTCGTTTCCATCATCGCTATTATCACTCGCATACAAAGATGCGCTTGTCGAGGCTGTGCATTGCAGTCTTTAGGGCCTGTCCTCAAACTGTTCTCCCTCCCGCAACCCAAGAGATCTTCCTATTCGACTTACTTTCGTTTATTTTCGATGACAGTGCAGCTGCACGCTGCACTCGCTGATTGCCGACGATGATGAGCTCTTTCCGAAGAGATATTCCCACGTATATATCGCGACGTTGTTCCCCTTTTCGTGGGACCGGACTCGATGCTCCGGTCTCTTCGTGCGTTATTGTACGGTTAATTCAGGTGATTTCTATAGACGCGAACGCTCACGGCTTGTTCCACTTGTCGATCCTTAATTGACGTAAGAAACGTTTTCTCGGACATTTCTTTGTCTTACTTATTCTTGGTTCTTTGAGAAATAGATCCCTGAAAATGGATCAACGACGATCCCCATCGGATTTTATGAAATCGTCGAGGATATATACATTTTTGACAGAATATGATATACGATTTTAAACGCAGAATTATATCTATTAATATATCTCAAAGAATTTGTAATAAAGCATATATTTATGTATATGTTACGTCATTTATCATCTCGTATTAATTTTCTTAAAGAAAGTCGAAAATCAAGAAATTCCAGGTCACCATTCATTTACAATAAAATGCTCTAACAGATGGCCAGCAAGTAACTAGAAAGTTTCTTATATACTTCGAGTGAAATCTTGGCAATATAGATGTTATTCTCATTGACAGTGTTTTAAATCGTAAGTTTCAAGAAAGTGGACCATATCCGTATTAATTTTCTCTTCGGTCGATTATTATGTTGTATTTATCGCATCTTAATGATTTAATATAAACGGGATTTTAAACATTTTATTGACAAAGAGAATTTTATCAAACTTCGTCGAAAAGAATCGAGCACACTATCGCAGAACGATACGCATGAAATCTTCCTCAGATGTATATTGCGCTATCAATATTGCTTTGCAATATGATCCACCTGTAAAGGACACCAGATATCTTATTGACTTACGGTGTACTTCATGTGTGGCGTTAGTGCGTATAAATAGGCGCAGGTGCAATTTGTTACGTACTCGTTGAATCAAGTTAAGTACTTATCTTAACTTATCTTAACACCTTCTCTCGCATTGTGTTGATTTTTTATTTAATCCCTTTTTTCGATCAAGAATTCTTCGTTTTGTAAATAAAAGTGAATTTGAATGAAATAAAAAATAATTTATCCGCATCAGGATTTGAACAACTTGAACTAACTTATTTCAATAACGAGCACCTTAGTCATGAAGCTATCGAAGCCCCTTGGTGTTCCTTTTTCCTGTTTTTTTTCCCTATGAATCGACCGTTCGTATCGCAAAGGTTTCTGATCCTATATGCATACGCGCTTCTAAATATTGTATAGTAAATATTCAATGTAAATTGTTTTTTAATTAATTAAAGCTTGAATTATTTCACATTATATAATATAAACGAGTTTTTTTATTTTAGCATATAGAATTGAAGCGAATATTTTTCTTTTAATTTCCAATTATTGTATTAAAATTGTAATTAAAGTTAATATAATTAATTAGCGAGTATTATGTTATTATATTATGTTTTCACATTAATAATAGTCGAGCAATCAAAAATAACTTGAAATAGGAAAGATCAAATTAAATTGAAATATCTTTTTTTTTTATAATTCAATATTATAATTTTTACTTTCCTCTTTTTTGTTACAGAATGTGGACCATAAGATGAAATTCCGTTCCAAGAAAGGCGCGTTACCATTTGTCGAGCTAAATGGTGAGGAAATCGCGGATAGCACGATTATCCTTCGCGAGCTTAGCCAGAAATTTGGTAAGGATCTGGACGCCGTTCTTACGTGTGAGCAACGAAGCGTATCCCACGCAATGATATCGATGATTGAAAACCACTTAGTCTGGGTGGTCATGTGCTGGCGAACTAAGAATCTTGATCAGGTTTTTAAGGGTTACAAGGTGAATCTTCAGCACGTGCTGGGTACTCGTATCCCCAATGGCATTCTCAATTTCTTTTTCAAACTCACGGTCGGTCGTAAGGTAAATATTAATTATAAATTTCGTTTTTTTCTTTCATTCCTTCTCACGATAGTTATCTATTATCTATAACTGGAATAATGAATTAGTCTTAAGTGGTCAAATTTTGGCTCAGATTACACTTAAATATATTATTAAATTATATTGATATGAAATGTATATTAAATACTTAAATCAGCATGCTTGATATTTATTTTAGGGCGCAAAGAAAGTGAAGGCGCAGGGTATGGGTGTACATACTCCAGAAGAGGTGTCCCAATTCGGTTGCGCCGATCTTAAAGTTCTTTCTGACATGCTTGCAGACAAGCCTTTCTTCTTTGGAGACGAACCGACTACGGTAAACAAAATTTTAATTTATTTATATATTTATATTAATCAAAATTATTTTATATTCAACCTCTTATAAATTTCTTTCCATTTCATTCCAAACAGTTGGACGTTGTAGCATTTGCACATCTTGCCCAAATTCTCTATATCGATAAAGACACACCATACAGTCTGCGAGACTATATGCAGGAGAATTGTCCAAACTTGGTGGGACACTGTTCACGCATGAAGGAACGATGCTTCCCGGATTGGGATGAGATTTGCTCTACTCTTGATATGAATACTCATCTACCGAAACCAGAAAAACAGGAGGAGAAGGAGGGCAAGGAAGATGCAAAGGAATCGAAGGAATCAAAGGAAGAAAAAGAGGGTGATAAAGAAAAGGCGGATAAAGAAGAGAAAGAATTGGAGAAAGACAAAGAAGTTGATGAAAACAAAGAAAAGGAAAAAGAAGGGAAATAAGTTCTCTTGAAAGACAAATAAGTCGTTCAGAGAAAGGGAAAAAAAAAGATTTAAAATTTGAGAAAAGAAAATTGAGGGTGTGATTTGGTAAGATATAGAAAATCTTAGGGGGGATGGGGGTTGAAAAAGGAAAAAGAATGAAGATGGAAGAAAGAATGCGCGTGTGTATGTATGTGTGAATGTATTTCGTACGAATGTTGACAGAAAGAAATAGAAAATGAAAGAGAGAGAGGGAGGAGGAGAGAGGAAGAGGTATTAGAGAGGATGAGTGATAAGAAAGAAGTTAAAATGTGTGTGAAAGAGCAAACGAGAGAAATTCGACGTGTGAAAAGAAAGAGGGGTAGGGGGATTTCAGGTTTAGAGCTCTCTACTTATACGTATAGATATTAATAGACTCATAATGTTAAATACTTCGTTTATATACGTTCGTAACACGTTATTACGCCATTTCTCATCGACACCCCAACACACTCGAATCGAATAACAAACTTTATTATTATATTTGACCCAGGGCCCTTTTCCCCCCCTACGAAAAATAATACGAGAAAAATTAAGGAATGATAACAGAATGGGGCTATCTTATAAGTCATTAGAATATCGTAGGTTTGCAATATATCAAATGCAATAGCCTGACACATTCAGGTTTGTGAAAGATCTTCTTCAATGAATAGTGGCCAAAATGAATGTATCGTACCGTTGTGCAAATAGACGTAAACCATGATATGATTTATACGATGCAATTTAATGTGAAGAAGCGAAATCATTTATGGTTACGATATACGACGTTAGATAGCGCCCCTGATACTGATTCAGGGAGAAGGCGTCTTGCGGTCGCTTCATACAGCATTGGCTCTTACTGTGCAAAATGAGTTACGTACCTAGCGTTTCAGCAACGTACCGTATATCACATTGTGATCTTCGTTTGATCGTTTGCTTCTTAGTTATATGTGTATATGTCGCATTTTTACAATCACTGTACGGTATTTTTATGAGATTTTTTTATTTTTTTTATCATTTTTTTTTTATATAATTCAAAATCCATTCAAATCACTTTTCAGAGTATGATATCATAAATCATAAATTACTTTCTAATGCATTTGAATACTCAAATGATTTCTGCAAAAATCGTTTTTTATGCAACGATAATCAGAAGATTGAATATTAAATTTTCAAATGCATTAGAAAGAGACTGTTTTTAATTTTGACTTGTTATATATTTTTTTTATATGATTTGTCTCAAATAGAAACCAATTTTTTAACGCGCGTGCGTCAAGTTATGTAATTTTTTACGATTCATTGACAATGTCCCTCCGACGAACGAAGTATCATTTGCGATTACGGATCGGCGGTAAATGATGATATTTACGATGATTTGTATATTATTAGAAATATTTGTATTACATACATGCGGATATAATCCAAGTGATTGTGCCGCTGGAAGCGGAAATGGCATTGTCACCGCGTTCTGAAGTCATTCGGACGCTTTGTTTCTTCTTTTTCTTTCATCAAATAAAAAAAAAAAATATGAATAAAAATAAACTAGAAAAGAGGCACAGGCAAACATCGATCTCTTCTGTCTGGGTTTCCTTTCGATATTCAAATGAAATAAAAATAAAAAAGAAAAAGAAAAACGAACGAAACGCTGTGCTGCCCCCGTGTGTTAGTTCAACTCTATTAGATGACTTTTTTCTTCGGATGTGTGAGAAAAAATTTTACATAACGAAGTAAAAAAAAAAAAGAAAATACAAAAAAGTGTCTTTCACGCATCGAAATGAAAGAAAAAGCATAACCACACAAGCGTGCGCGCGCGCGAATACACTACACGCACACGCATACACATATATATACACGACAGACATTTTGATGTATAATGTTATATCGAACGGGAATTGAATGTTTTTTGTACGAGGCCGCGTTTTATTAAAGCATTGGCCAGAAAATAATTCCACGAAGACACGAGGTTAATATAATTAATATTTAAGTAGCTTACTATAATTAAACGACAATTACGATTACATAAAAAACAAAAGAAAAACACAAGTAAACAATTAGTGTGTGGAAACTGTTTATACCTTATTAGAAACAACGCATACGTTTACATCTGTGGTTACATTATTATTATTATTAATTATTATGGATTATTATGAATAAATAGTAAATAAATAAAGATTAGTGATGACGAAAGGAAAGAAATGAAAAAAAGAAGTAATAAAAAAAATACTTGGACAAGACCATAAACGTTGCAAGCACAGTAGGTAGGCACACATCCAGTACAGTAAGATTATAATAAGGAGAATATTAATAATAATTATAATATGACTGCTCGTTTTATGCTCGGCGCTATACATTTCATTGTCATTATTATATCACCATTTATTAACGATATACATACGAATAAATAAAATGTGTTTATAAATATAATGTGATCTTTACGAAATTTTCATCGATCTTTATTAATTGACCCGATACGATGAATATTTTTTACAAATAGCAACAAAAGAAAAAAAAATTTTTGTTTTATTTTATATTGTTTGTATTTGCGACTATCTTATTGTGCATTTAGAAAATAGCACATACACATTGCATGCAAATTAGGTTAGATGGTACGATTAATTTAGTTTTATTAAGAAAATTTTATTTCTTTAATTGCGGCAAAGAATGTGTTAGAATCGTTCAAATATTTTCATTTTTAATTATATTATAACTATAAAAAATGCTCCTTTTTAATTATGTTATAACTATAAAAAAATGTGTACATACGTCGTGTATAAGTTGTACGATCAGTAATTTTTTTCATACATTTGATATAAGTTTTATATTGATATATAAATGAAATATTGAAAAATAAGTAGAAATGAGTAGGACAATATGTGCATTATATATTATAAATATTGAATAAGAATAAAGTGTCGATGTCGAGTTAGAGATTTAATAATACATATAATAATAATAAAAAAAATATATAAAATGATCAATAGTTTATTTAATGTTAGTTTATTTTAAAGTGCCATAAAATAAAGTGAAAAGTGAAGTGTTTGAATAGAATAAAAGCATGATTGAATCAACTATTATTTATTATCTAAAATTTAAAGATATACATAACGACGAACGATTGAAACGATCGTTTACAAGATAATACTTCTAATTTGGCGTGTCTGTAGTTGTATTCTTTTAATATTTGTATCGAAATATATATTTAAATTATAATGAATCATAATATCTATTTTTATAATATTGGTTTGATATTAATTTTTATTATGATTGCTTTTAAAAGAATACAGCTAAGAAATATTTTTTAATTTTAGCTTTATTTTTCGATTTTCTACTCGGCACAGGATATGTATAATATTGCTATAATTTAATGCTACGATTAATTTACTTATAACTATTAATATTATTTAGACAGACAGCTTTTTATTTTTGGAATTTTTTGAATTTAATTATGATTAAACATTAATTTTTATTTTCTATATATAATTAACTTTTACTAAAACTTTTTCTAATTGATTTTTTTTTTTTAAATAATGTTTAATCTGCATCGATTAAAAACGGATTTTAAAATAGTAATAATCAATTATAAAACTAAAATAAGTTTTCATTTTTGCTCTTTTCATTTTAATGATATTTTTAACATTTTTCTTCCATTTTCCAGCTTGCTAAATTATTATCCAAAAGTTTGATTTTTAGATATGTAAAAATATATATAAGCAACTAATATTGTTATATATATATATGGTCCCTAGTGGTCCAAAAATATTGTGTTTTCAGAACTCTGTCATTAAAATATAATTGTGTTCTAATAATTTTTTTCCAATTTATTTTCTATAAGAGAGTAATATTAAACAAATGAACACTTATAAAATTGGAAATAAATATATACATCAATGAATTCTATGAAATAGAAGAATATTTAGCAAAAACTTCGAAGAATATTTAGCTTCGAAAGTCTATAATAATATTGCACATTTATTTTTATATTTTTTTTATATATGTATATATAATTATTTTTTTAAAGTTTAAATGTTTTAATCTAGATATCATGATGAATTCGATTTTAAATCGAAAACATCATATTCGAGGTAGTATAATTATGATTTTAACTTCGATTTTAATTTTTTTATATTTATTAGTATTTTTTAACATTATCTTTAAGATTTTTAAATTTCTAAACTTTAAAAAATAAATAAGTATAGTTTTTTAATTAAATTTAAAAAATATAAATTTTTTTAATTCATTTAATAGATTAGCAAAATATAGTAATACGCATCTACTTTCATAATCATTATTTTACATATTATTTTTTTTATATAACAACATTTTATATATTTTCTGAATTCAAATCACAAAAACATCAATATTTTCAATTTAAAAAATGTAAAAAATGCAATTGCAACATATTAACATTTAAATGACATAATATATGCTTTTTCAATTTATTTCAATTTCTAATTACGTAGAATTTTACTTGCATAACTACTAAGTTATTATTCTTAACCGAATGGAATAATGAAAGACGATGCGAACAATAAAATGCAAAGAATTATAGTAGCCTTAAAAGGCTGTGCTAGTCATAGATGACTGCACGCCGGACTTTGAATTCGGTTGTCCGGCGTGTGACTATAGCTACGTAGACGCAGCAAGACTTATTGATGTTGATTCAGTGACAGCTGATCGTGGTTTTACGTCTAACGAATCATAAAGTGGAAATTCACAACAGAAAAGAAATTTTAGGAAATGAGGCACTTCAACATATATGGATGGTGGTATTGGTATTAATGGCGATGTAGATAGTTTGTAATAGCGATATTCGGCATTACTGAAATATATTAAAATATTTTAGTATATAAATTTTCTTTGTTGATAAAAATAAATAAATAATATATGATATATATGAGCTAAAAATCTATAAATTTGATGAAAGTTAGAGAGATTAATAAATATTGCAAATCAGAAACTTACTCACGATATCTCTCATCGGAAGCTCTTTCCAATAGAGGCATTCCAGATAAGAATAGAATGATGAAAGTAGTGAATATTGGAGAAGCTATAGCAATCCATTCAATGCCTTCGATTACATTCAAAGATATTACGAAGATACCCCACCATACTACTATTTCTCCAAAATAATTTGGATGTCTAGATAATCTCCATAATCCTAAATCATAATTATTGATCATCTGTTATTGAATATTTGGAAAAGACTGATGTAAAAAACGTACCGTCATTACACCATTTGCCATTATTCACTGGATCTTGTTTGAAAGAAAATTTCTGTAAATCGGCATAAGTTTCAGCTAATAAACCAGTTACGAAAAGTCCCGTACCAGTGCTGTCTAGGGTTGTCATCGTTTTAGGAGCTGGTGGTATTTTGTGTCGCGGTGAATTAATGATAATTACTGGTAAACTCACAACATAGACCCATACAGCCTAAAGATAAATTTTTTTTAAAATATACAAATATTTAAAATACAAATGAAAATTAATATAAAATTAATTAGAAATTAAAATAAAAATTATGATAAGTAAAATATAATTTCGATAAATAATTGATTTTGATTATTACTGTTACCTGAAATGTCCAAAATACAGCAAAACGAATCACATTACTGCGACGATCTTCAAATCTTTTATCGCGACCAATTTTAATAATTCGATATAATAGATATCCAGAAAGACGAACACCCCACAAGCAAACAAATATAGTGACCATAAGTTGTCTACTGTCATAAGGCTACAACATAAAATATTTACAATTATAAATTATAATATTATTTACATAATATTAATAATATTTAATATTTACTTTAATACTTATGATTTAATATTTATTTATAAATTATAATATTATTTACATAATATTAATAATATTTAATATTTACTTTAATGCTTATGATTTAATATTTATGATAAATTTGATAAAAATATTAATGATTTGTTTTAAAAATGAAATTAAATATTCAAATTATCTTTTAATGACTATTGTTAAAAATTATAAATTTTTTTAAAAATAAATGATCTTACAAAAATAAATTAACAGTAAATCAAATATTTCTATGTTTTATCTCGTCTAAATTTACGATTTAATAATTCGCTCTGTGTTCATTTGCATAGACACATATATAGAAATGGTTTTATAATTAGAATACCTTGCCTACTTGGCCGAGAAAGAAAGTGAGAAGGGCGAGGATGATAAAGTTCGTGCCGCCGGCAAAATCTGTTAGCTTGTCCAACTGGAAGGTCGCCGCAATTGTGAAGAATATAATTTGCATACCAACGGTGACGATTGCACTCACCGCGAAGTGGTCTTTATCCAAAATATCGACCGCCATTGATCGATTGTTGATTTCTCACTTCCACACTTGATGAACTATTTTCGAATCTGAAGTCATTAATGAAACTGTTATGTAGCTTTAGAAATATAATTTTTAGGAAAAAAATATTTATAGAAAATGAAAAGATATATAAGTTATTTAATAATAATTTTATAATTAAGAAATCAAAATATTATTTAAAATTTCTTATATTTTTTTTTATCAATGTTTCAAATAAAAATATTTTCATTTTATTTATACAATTTTATAAAATGTTATTTTTGTTTATTTTTTAAAATGTTTTAATAATTTACATTATTTTAATTTAAATATAATATATTATAAAATAAAATAAAATAAAAAAACGAATATATTGAAGTAATATTATAATTAGTGATATCTGCAAAAGTTTAAACAGACTTGAAAGGATTGTATATTGAAATATAAATTAAATACTTGATATTTTTATGATTCTGCTTTCTTGTATATGTGACCTTGATGCTTAAATGTTTTTCATTTATTGATTATATTGATTCATGCATATTGTAGTTCCATTGTTTAATAACAGTATATATTTTGAGAATATAATATTTTGAAAAGGTAGAAAGCAATAATAATTTTATTTTACAATTTAAATTGTTTCATTTCTGATCAATAAAACAAAATTTATATTTATATTAAAATATTAAAAAAATTTATTTTAATATTTCGTATTTCGAAATAAAAAATTTAAAAATTTACTTCAGTTTGAAAAAATTTGATGTTTTTCTTTTAGGAAAATATTTAATTTATAATCTTTTTTATTATATATCATTTGGTTTCTAATAGATTACGATCACTTTTAACTATCTCCGCACTGTTGAATGTCGCAATGCAGCTCATTTTATTCAATATTGTCACAAAAAATATTTTATAAAATATAATTTTCTTTATGACAAATATTCATAACATTTAAATTATCTTTCTTATTTGATGTAATGTCATCATTTAAAATATTTTCAGTCATAAAACAATAGAAAAACGAATATATTATTATATTTGTACTTACCGTTTTTTAATTTGAAACTTTTGCATCGTATAGTCACAATTCAATCTTTAATCAATCGTAAAACAAAAGCCAACATTCTTGTTAAAAAAATCCAATATCAATTATTTATTCAAACCAATACGTGCAAATAGAAAAATTCACATTTGTTACCAATTTCTAACTATAATCAAAAATTTCTCGAATCATTTTTCAATGTGAGTATGGTAAAAAACAATTTCTTTAATATTTAAAAATTAAAAATAATGTTAGCATTATTCACAAACTCAATTATCACTGCATTGTCAAAAATCGAAACTGATATTATTAATCATCATTCAACTAACCATCTTTGAATTTCGCATCGAATACTAAGAGATAGATACAAATCACACCAAGTCACTGTCACTTGAGAACAAAAATTTGCGAATTCGGAATATCCTTATTTCATACAGACATTTCTAGGTAAGAAAATATTGTTTGTGTAAAATACGTATATATCAGTTAAGGAGAAATGATGATTACCTCAACAGAGAGGAACCTCATTGTAACAACTCGTAAGATGTGTAGAATAGCTACTTCCATCCGCGGCGATAGGCAGCGGCAGGACTACGAGAGTATTCAATGTCGAATCTAAAACAAGAAATCCCTGATCACGTGCTATGAAACGACTGCGAGCGCATCGGGTACTTTTCTTCTAGCTCGAACCTTGTTACCACTATATGCATCTCCCTCTAATCAGTACTCTATGGTGTGACCTATTGGGTTTTTTGATTCACGTTGACTGTCTGACATTACGGCTTATTATAATTATTTCCATAATTAGAATCTTATCATTCTATGCAATTGATATTATTATTGAAGAATTTAATTTAAATAAATAAAAAAATAATTTTAATAGAATGTAAATCAACGAAATTCAAAATTCAAAATTCAAAAATATGGTTAGATTTTATTATTTGAAATAATTATAGAAAAGATATTGGAAATAAAAAATAATTTTTATTTTATTGTTAAATTTTATGTTTACGTGTATTATATTTGTGAGAATACTTTATTTTTGATATGAACTATATATAAGTAACGTTTTCATGAAACGTATTTTTTTTATTTATTTTTTTTGATAAAATATGTGATTACTTTCTTGTTTCTTTGATAGTTATTTTATCGTAATTGCTTTTTTCATCAAAGCTTTATAATGTAAGCTCATTCAACATAGAATCAATACATATACGCGAGCGCGAATGAATTTCCACTTAAATGGAACATGGCGCATTACACTTTTCATTTGTTTTGTAGTATTGAAGACAATGCATATCTTTTATCAAATATCGTTCAAAATATTCATTTTATATCTAACTTGATTTTTTTAAAATTTATATAAAAATAAATGAACATAAAAAGAATCAATTTGTTGATTTTTAATTGGATTAATAATAATTTATTTTAATATATTGTACATTATATTATTATAGTAACTTTACAAACAATAACTAATATGTCTTATTTCTACCACGCTTAATGCGCATATATGATTAATTCCGACGTATCTTTTTATAAACATTATAAAATTCAGCTTGATGAAAATAAATGATTACAATATTTATGATTACTCCTTAAATTTTGGTCTTGATTTTTTTGATAAAAAAGTGCAGAGATCCATAATATGGAAATGTAATTATAATATACATGCAGTGCTTTGATTCTTCTAAATTAATCACAAACAATGTTAAAAATATGTTCTTTTGAATGCTTTTATTAATTTTCCATTTAGAAAATATCTTTAACTAAGATTTTATTTATTCATTCAAATGCACTGCATAGTTTTTTAATTGCTTCAATTTCTTTTTAAAATATCTATTTTCAATTTTAAGATTTAGTATATTTGCCCCAGATATGAAGCATAAAGACAGATGCAATAAAAAGAAGAGACATAACAAGCACAGGTACTGGTCCTCTGAAAAGATATATATATAAATTATAGATATTTATATTTTTTATTTATTTATTTATTATTTTATGTACTTACACTTTGATACCAGGAGAATCATCGGTGTAAAACATCCACATTTCATCAGAACCAGCTCCTGTATTTCTACTCCGAGTTGAAGTAGTTGTTGCAGTTTTTCTTTGTCTAACAGTACCACCACCTGTTCTAGGTGCTATAGCTTTGCTGGGCGATCGTCTCGCAGCTCCAACTGAAGTAGAACTAGGTGCAGCAGGCTTAAAAAAGTAAACAAAATATAACCATAAATTTTTAAGTCAAAATATTATTTTTCTTTTTGCAATTGTAATCTTAGAAAATTATTTACCATTATTTGTTATTCTATTGTTAATTTAAAAATACCAGAAGTTTACGAAAAATTTATTTTATAATTTATAATTTTGTCTAAATTCACAATAAATAAACTTGATATGTTTCACTTTTCAAATCTTATTATTAATTTTTATCTTATTATGAACAACATTAAAAAAATATTGAAATAATATCACTTGGTACTTTTATAAAGCCAACCTCCTTCTACTAAATAATTTAAACGTTTACTAGCAATACGAAGCACAGCATAAAGCAACGTGTCATATATACACCATCCACGTAGTGAACTCTCGACACGTCATCATATGTTGTTAAATTCACAGTGACGCATGAGCGTTTATCATTACGTCACGTTTTCATGAAAAAAATATTACCATAAAATAATATTTCGAATTATTATTATATTTATTTATTTTATAATTTATTTAATAATAATTACTTTAAAATAATCAAACAATTATATAAATAATTTTTTCTATATTATTAAAAATATTCAAGAAATTACTAGAAATAAATTAAAATCATATGATCAAAACTCGAAGAATTAGTATCGAATTCATAATCTTGAAATATGAACCAAGAAAATTCTTTTTCGTATATTAATTTATTTATGAAATTATATTATTAATATAAAGCTCATTTATTTAAAAATAAATTATTTTTGAAATAAAAATTCATAAATACAGTCTACTTTCAAAAAAATATACAAATACAAATACATAGCAGATTGGCATCGGTAAATATAAAATGTTTTAAGTAATTTTTAAGTAATACATTAAGTCAAAATATTTGTTATATGATATGGTTTAATTATTTTCAAAATTGGCTGAACATAATCTAAATTAAATTCACAAATTTCAAAAGTAGTTATTAAAAATTTAAAAGTATTTTAATAAAAATAAGATTTTTAAATTTTATAAAGCTTTAATAATTTGGATAATAATAATGAATTTAAATAACTACAATTGCACAAAATATCGAATTTGTGAAATAAAAGAAAAATATAATTTTTATGATAGTTTTTTATGATAAGGCATTTATTTATTATTTACATAATGTACGATTATTATTTTATATAATATTCTATATCAATTATATTTTTGGTAATAAATAACATATAACTTTTACATAAATTTAAATTGAACTAATGTATATAATTTGTCATATTGAACTTCTATACAAAAGAATATTAATTATCTTGTACTACTTACATGCATATATAATAATATGTTCTACAATTTCTTTTTTTTTAATCTTCCACATTAACAGACTAGTTACAAAATTATGACAACATATTACATTATTTCTTATAAAATTGTTCGATTTTTTTATCATGATGAAAATATTAGAATCTTAAAATACAAAAAAAAATCATACATATTGTTACAGGAACTTTTTCTTTTTGTTTCACTTATTGTACATTTATAGCCAATTTATAAAATATAAAACTGTTGCCTTTTCTTATGTATAAAAATTTTAAGAAAATGCATAGAAAGATTCATTATATTAATTAAAGTAAAAAGTTTATAAAATATTATTAGAAAATATAATACTTCTATTGGTCTCAAAATATATAGTCTCAATGATTTTTGCCAATAACAGAAAATATTCTGTAAATGCTTATAAATGTAGTAATTGCATGTATTGTATTTATAAATGTAAATTAGATATATCTTATATGTATACCTGTTTAAAGATTTTAAATGTTTATTGTATGATTTCAGTCATTGTAAAATGTTTTAAATGCATAAATTCTAAGTATTTCATACATTCTTATAGTAACATATTGATATATTAGCAATACAAAATTTTGTAAAAGATATGTTGCATATCTAAGCTACTATAACTTCATTATGCTTTGGCATTCTGTCATATTTTACAATATAGAAATACTTAAAGAATTAAAATATCATGACTTTTTCATCCATATAATTATTTCTTTTTTTGAAAATCAACCAAGAAATACTCTTTATTTTCTTATTATTTAAATAAATTTTTTTGTATATAAATATATACATGACAACAAGAAATATTCATATGGATTCCGCACAGCAACTACTGTTTGGCACAAGACATATTTTTGCAAATTTTGATATACAATAAACATTATACAATGCGATTTTTACGCAGGCACGTGTAAATCATTGTTTTTTAAGCATAACTTTATATACTGATATCATTATTAGCTCTCATTTGATATTAGAAAAACATTTTCATACAATTATTTTTTTTTTAACAACAATAACATACCATAACAGGATTTTTATACATATAAATCTATTGTTTTAATATTCTATTTTTATTGCAATAAAAAATGAATATTATGCCTGCAAGATATAATTATAACAATCATTGAATGTATTGATTAATATTATCCTCTTATTTTAACTGGAATTATAGACATTTGCCAAAAGTAAAATTTGTAAAATAGAAAATAAAATATGAAATACATATATTATAATTTTCAAATAATAATCAAATATCTTACTACTGATCAATCTAATACAATATTTGGCAGACATATAGCTCCAATAAATTGACTTTGTTATTATATTGTATTGTATATGTGAAATAAATATTCTTCTTAGACCAAATAAATTTCTTACTTGGTATTTAAGTACTTGTTACTCCCTTACGAGCCACTAATAGATTTAATACTGGATGTTTCCTGATATATGATACTGCTTTTTTATGAGTTACCATAGTAAAATCATATCCATTACATTGTAAAATTTTATCATGCATACGAAGACCACTTTTTGCTGCTGGAGATCCTTCGTGAACTTCAGTTACATATATACCCTGGCATTGAATAGCATTAATTAAAAATATGAAATATATTTATAATACATAAATTATATTAATTTTTTTTACATTATCAGTATAACCCTGAGGACTTTTTCTAAAATCTTGATCAATGCCACCTCCAATTTTGAAGCCACATTTCATCACCTCTTCTCCATTTTCATTTACATCTGTTTCTTTTACCAATATAATTGGTATCTAAAAAATAACAAAATAAGATAGAACAAAATAATTTTTGTAATAATGTTTAATATCGTATTAATATTTTGTAACAATGTTTTAATGTATTTTTTATTGTATATTAAAAATAATAAATTAAAGTAGTGAAGTTTATTGTTTTAAAAAATACGTAATAGTAATTGAACTGAGATTTTTTATATTCTTTATTTTTTATGTTTTTTATTATAGATTATAGATATATTTACACTTAAGCATTCCATAGCGGTGCCAGCTTGATGCTGAAAAGCCATTTTCGCGCACATAATGATAAATCTTGTCTAATCAATTCAGATTGACAATTGTTTCCGATGATTCAACGTGATTATCAATTGCTTTCGCACTATATACACCGATGTAAAAATTACACGATAATTTAAAAGCGTATATTTGAAAATATATTTAAAAAATATATTATTGAATAATAGAAGAATTTTGATTCACTTCCAATGAGTGATCAATTGGTTAATCTTATTAATTTCTATGCACTTCAATGTCGTTAAAATCAGCTAAAACAATTTCTTTTTCACGTTGACAGCCATACATATTGGTCAATATAGATAGGAAAGTACCGTTGCAATAGAATACACTATAGAAAATACCACAGACAAGCTATAGAATAGATATGATATCTTACAAAATATTATATCACATATTTAGAAATATTGATTTTGAAAAAAAGTATGTTTCTTACGACTTCTGCAATTTGTTACATATATCTACATGTACATATTTTATAATATATGTGTTTATAATGTATCTTGCTTAATATTTATTATCTTCATTTTTCACTAGAGATTTTTCACTATTTTTTTATAGCGAAAAACATAGAATAAGAATTAATCATTAGCATTATCTTTTAAATATTATACAATTTTTTTAAAAGCAAGATAAGATACAGATAAAAATTTAAGATTAGCATCATTTTTAAATTCTAAAGATAATTTTTTAAAAAGTAATATAAGATAAGAATTGAGAATCAGCGTCATCTCTTGAATAAAAATATTTTAAAAATATATTTTTTGGATTTCTCGAGAGATGACGTTGACAATCACTTTTTGATCCATGTTATTTTCTTACTAATTGGTCTCTTTATCTATGTTGTATTCGTTTGCAGTATTCTAAATATGGCGCGACTTTTAGTTAAGGTATAGTAAAAAATCATTTTTTCTTCACAGTATATTAAAGTATATGAATAATTTATTGATCATAGAATTACAAATTTTGATTAAAAAAAGGATTAATTTGATTAAAGAATAGGATTAATCACAAGGATATATAATTACATTTGACGCAATAAATGTTTGTTCTTCTTTATTAACAAGCTGAATTTTAGCATATTTTGTGAAAGTTTGACATTTCGATAAGACATTCGATTGTTTTATTATTTTTTTCCTTTTTATTTTATTTTCGCGTTAACCATAATGGACGATGATTAGTTTTATCGAATTCGTCCACGGATAGTTATATGGGGATATGATACATGATTTCTAAGTTTCACGGGTCTCATGTATTATACAAATAATTTACTCAGTTACGGTAGCTATGCTACACGATGAGTTTCTATATCACACGTATCACGTATGCACGCGTTCATCAGATACACTTGAAAAATCATTACACTAATTATTTTTTTATCCAAATTTTCTTCTATCTATGATCATTTTTTTTTTTCTTTTTTTTTATTATGACAAAAACTACAAACCATATGATCACTGTTTTCGTAATTTAAATTTGTGCATGATTTAATTCTTGTAAAATTCATCGCATAAAGTTCATCTCGTATTTATAGATGAAATATGTATTAATGAATATATTTTTTATAAGAGAGCATACTTTGCATATTTGTCGTTTAAGTTGTTAATTTTTTTTATAAAAACTTTTTACTTTTAACACACGGATTCTTTTAATCTGTTAGATAATTTTACGTCAAGTAAGATATATTATTAAAAAATATGCATGTAGAAAATTTAAAAAAAACATTCATAAAGGTTTTAATAAATGCATATACGTAATAAATATATACGATAATGTAGATATTATTAAATATATTATCAGTGAAAAAGAAAATCGAATAATTATAATTTATTTTTTATAAAAAATTTAAATAAGAAATTGCTCATATAAAATTTAATATGAGTTTATTGGTTGATATTGAATTAAAATATCGATATAAATATATATATATGATTTCGATTAATTTTGATAATTTCGTATACATTAATTTTACTACTTATTAAAACATTTTTACATTGATATTATTATACGAACAATCCAGTTTGTTTAAAATGTAGAAATATATTTTCATATAAAAAAATGAATTTTTTTTATTTTTTATTCGAAAAAATACACGAACTATGCTCTCGTTTTAAAAGTTCTCATATTACGAATAATTGGAAAAGTACAGTCATAGACGCCATGATAACAATATTTCAATTAATTATTATAATTAAGGCAATAGCCCTAAATTAATAATTTTATAAATTGTAAACTCTATTTGGCAAAAATCAACGTAAGCGTAGTTAATTAGCCTCAGTCTCATTATTCGAGAACGATACATAAGGATCAGACTTTAATAAATTACTCGTATCTTTTTTAACCTATATAACAAATAATTTATCAATAAATTATTATAAAACTTGTCCGATCTAATCGACATAATTTTCGTTTTGAAAACTGATTTTTCATTTTTCTATTTTTATTTTAAAAATAAACAATTTAAAATGTTTTACTTATATTTTATTGAAATTTTAATTAACTTTTATAAAATCTAATCTTTGTTTTTATTAATTAATAAAAAAAATATACAGATTTTTTAAAATGAAAAAAAAATTAAATATTAAAATATGTATATTAATAGAATATTTTGCGGGAATAAAAACAGAGTAATATTTAAAGCTATTTGTGATGTTAATTAATCATCGAGCTCAATGTATGTCGATAAATTGTTTGTCCTTTAAATATAATTCATACATATATTTACATTTTAAATACTCTTTTTCAATTATATTTTTCGATTTTTTTATTGAATTTCCGCGTTTTGATGCAATATAATCCTCGAATTGCTTTATTAACATAATTAATCAAACAAAATGTTGAAACGCACGATTGTGGTTTCTTAATGCCGACAATTAGGAATGTTGTTACAATTAGCACTTTGCATAAAGCGGAAGTTATCGTGATGTATATAGAGATTCGTTTTTCAAAACATCGTTATATTTTTTTATTTTCATTAATTTATATAACAATAATTTTATAAAAGATATTTGTATAAAAAGAAAAATAAAACTATCTACGCTAAATAATCATTGATCACTTTATAGTATAATTATCCTAAATGTATTGAAGTAAAATTGTATTTTATTATTTTTTTGTTAACTTTCAACTCTTATAATAATTATAGTTAAAATTATCATTATTTGTTTTTTAATGAATTGTTATGACCGTTTAAATCAGTTTTCTGTTTTACAATATAAAATATAATAAAAGTACAATGATTTTTTTAAATATTCTTCATTTAAATAATGCCAATATTTTTTTAATAGCAAAAAAACAACTATATAATAGATATTTAAACGATATTTCTCAAGGATGATAAACGATTCTCCATACTTAACTTTCGTCGTATCTTTTCAACTATACAATCCATGGTAACATTGTGACTAATAATACAATCTATACTATACAGTAGTTAGACGATTATACACATGTGTAATTCTTCATTCCGTGTCTAAATTGACTTGTTTCCTAATACTCTGTCGATGAATCTTTTTCTTTCTATTAATCACTGTTGCAGAATCTTCTCAGAAATACTTTATGTCTGTGACTCTCAAGTATGACTAAATTTCAGAAGATGAGATTCTAACATAGCTCTCTAAAGAACCTCTGTCAATACTTTCACGTAACTTGTTCCTGTTGTTTTCCTGTGTTTGGTCGACCAATAAATTTGCGAATAACGCAATGGCAGTATTCGATGCAATGATAATTAATAAATCAATCGATAAGACGATTTGTCGATAATTTAATAGCGCACTGAGAAAAATGTTTAGATATGAAGAAACGTTTAGTCTAGTAACATTTTGTTGACAGAAAACCATGAGATATATTACGATTTGCTAATATTAATTTTCTTTAAGTAAAATGGACATTGTTTCAAACTTGCTAAACGCTTTTCTCAGTATTCTATATATGAGCAAAGACTCTTTTTACGACAAAAATTCCTAATTAATTTGACTTTGACAAGAGTTTATATTTATTATTAGCAGATGTGTGTCACTCGCGAACATACGATTTTTTAAATTACGATTTTCCATTGACATTCTGCAAGATTTTTGAATAGTTAACAATTTTTCAGAGAATTTTTTATAACTTATCTTTATATGCTTTCGTGAAGATTTCTGCTAGAGATCTATTACTAAATCTCGATCATACGTGTATAGTGAACTCTTGCCTTTCTTGTTCCTTTCTTTGTTGATACCTAAAACGAAGTTGAACAAAATTTTTTATTAATGTTGCATCAAGTTTAACCTTTACTTCTAAAAAATGATAAATATATTTATTGAAATATTAATATAATTCATGATACTAAAGCAATTTTGCATAATCAAAGTTTTTCTCTCAACTAATATAAATGAAAAGTTTAATTTGTATTATATATTCATACTCTTCTTTTAAGCCTTAGAAGACTTCTATTTAAGTAAAATTTTTTATATATAAAATAAAAAATATTAACATAATATACATTTAAGCAGTGAAACGAAATAATTCAGAAATACTTCTAAGTAATAGTATTGGAATAAGGATCAATCTGACATGAAATGAATTTCTTGATATTTAATATGTTAAATATGTTGAAGATGTTGAATAAGAATCAAAAAAATTTAGAGACTTCCTAGCATTAAGAAGAGTACAGAATGAATTTCAACGTGTCAGCTTACTACGGTCTACGGAGGTTCGTGCCGATACCTAGCGAGCATAGATTCGACGGCCTCGATAGGCAGTCTACCCAAGCTGCCGCCGTGGCGGGTCCCGGATGACAGACCTTGCCAATCACGATCACGATCACGATCACGTTCCCCACGATCACGATCACGATCGCATTCTACATCGCTCAATTCGCGGCTGTCACTAAACCCGCTTGGCGGCAATAATGTCATGTCTTCCACCGAACTGCATAATAAATCAGAAAAGAGAGTTCTTAACAAAATGGAGAAATTATTATTGATGTTGAATGTTAAAAAATATTTTTATTGTTATTTGATTGATTGAGAGATTAATATCTTTTTTGAATTTCTTTTTCGGCAAATTAATCTGGATTGAAGATTTGATTAAAGTTGAAATAAATATCTCTTATCTTTAGTATTCATATTTATCCAGATTAATTTGTAAATATTATTTAAAAACATATTATTTAAAAAAATGATGACCAATTTAATTAAGAAATTATGATAAATTATTATTATGATGATATAAAGATATATGAGATTAACAAATTTTCAAGTAATAGAAAAATGTAGTTAATAATTCATTATCGTACGTTGTATAATAAAATTAATTTTTAAGAATTATATTTACGTTTGTAAAAATATATTTTTTAATATTCTTTAATGTTTATTCTTATTGTTTCCATTTATTTACATTTCCATTTTATTTACATTTTTCTATTATTTATCTTGCATCGATATGAAATCGATAAGATCGTGAACATTGAACATAATCAGGACTTGAGTGCTATGTGGAAACAAACAAACCTTGGCTACCTGCGAGTAGACCGGCTCGGTTGTCGGCTTCGTCGTCTCGCAAGTGAAGGTGAACCTTCGTTGTTCGATTCTGTACTCGATTCTACGCCTCGTGAAAATACATCTGTAAAGATGTATTAAAGAAATTTCAAAACATTAAATTCAATCTACAAGAGACTATTAATAAATTATACAAATTAATTTCTTGTTACCTCTGCAAGGCTTCACTGGTACCCTATAACTAGGCCCAGCGCACTCTCCGCAAGGGCTTCCGGATGTATCGCTTCCGGAACCTTGGCGACTCGAGCGTAGCTTACTTTCAGCTTCTGCGATGCTTGGGAAGTATCGTTGTTTGTGCCACCTTGGTGTTTTAGACCTGAACGTGAAAGAACACCAGAAAGAGGAAGAGAAAAGGGTTTGGGAGCGGGATATTAAGCTTTCTTGAGCAAGGAAGTCGAGCAAGGAATGTTTAATTCATCTAGCATGCGTTTGAAGGGTTGAAAGAAAACAGTTACCTCTCGAAATCCACACTGGATCTCTCGTAATCGATCGTGTTGATGTCTTCGTTCTCTAAATGTCCAAACGTTTTGAATTGCATGGTGTAATCGAGTGTGGCAGTGGTCACCGAACGATTTTCTCTTCCTGGCACGCTAAACGTGGCGTATGGGCTTATTTCATACATTTCTGTGAAAAAAAAATTATTGCTATTTAATTTCATTAATAAAGATATAAAAATACAAATAATTGAAAAATATTGTACAATAATTACGTGAGAAATTATTAAAAAAGAAAGAACATGAACCTGAACCATGGTCGTTCGATTTATGATTCTCTTGCTTTACCGGAGAACTGGTATAAACCTGATGATTCCTCCTGTTATCACGTTCAGCAGTGGATTTTAATTGCATAGTGGACATGCAACTTGAAAGATGATGGTGTTGTTGATGTTGCTGCTGTTGCTGGACCAATCCTAATCCAGACTGTTGATTCTGTTGTTGTCCAGGAAGTATTTCTCCTAAATAATTAGCTCTAAAAATATATAAACAATATTATTATTTTATCTAATCATGAAAAATATAAAATGATAATTCTCAAATAATTGTATGATACCTTCCACTACGTTTTAACATCACGTATCCCAAAATAGCGGCCGAAATAATCAGAACAATAGCACAGACGAGAGGTACGACTACATAAAGCACTTTATGATTCGGTATAGTTTTCTTAACATCATCTTCCATAATCAAATCGTTCGGAGGACCGATGCTAACACCACTGAGAGTGGTTGTTGCGAATTCCATTTGCGTTTGCGTGGATCCAGCATCGTTGTGCGCTGTCAAACGTAAACTGTACCACGAGGCAGTCTTTAAATCTCTTATGATTAAATTCTCCGTGGCACGACTTGCCACTAAAATCCATGGTTCATTGTTAATGCGTCTACGGTATTCTATAGTATAATATTGGATGGAGCAACCACCATTTGGCCAGGACAGAAGATTCAATTTTACGGAAGTACCATTGGCGGAGATAATATCTCGTTCTTTTGGCAATAAAGGCGCTGTGGAACAAATTCGAACAAGTTATATTATATTTAAATAAAAAACATATAAGAAGTTAATTTAGTATTGAAAAATTACCTGTTCCTTTCGTTGTAGCACTGATTAGAGAACTTGGATCGCCAGTACCTACACGATTGTGTGCTGTTAAATGTGCCAAGTAGGAGGAACCGCATTTTAAACCTGATAAAATAAATTCAGTCTGTTCGGGTGATAATGCGATCTCTTCCCAGCCACCTTGGTCCCTTTTATAACTTAATACGTAACCTAATAAAAATAACATTATATTTTATATTTTATGTTTTTTTTATATTTTTAATGTTCTTTTATATTTTTTCTATTGCTTAATTTTTATTTTCAACATCTAATATTTTCTAATGTACCTTGAATAGTGGCACCTCCATTATTGGGATGATTCCACCTAAATCTTATACTATTCGTTGTCGTATATTGTAATTCTAAAATTGGTGCTCTAGGAGGCATCACTACAACTAACGTGTAAGTAATGGAATCGTCACCGAATAAATTGCTCGCTGAACATGTATAATTTCCTGCGACTGATTGTTCTAATCCTAAAATTTTTATTCTTCTTAATATCATTATTTGTATATTCATTAACTTATTCAAGTATTAAACTAACCGCGAATATTGAGGTGACCATCTGCAGTCAATTCGTAATGCCTTCCAGTAGAGATTTGGCTATTTCGATACGTCCATATTGGACGAGGTGTAGGATTACCCACAACCAAACAGGATAATGTGATCGATGATTTAATCGCCCTTCTTAATAATTGCGAAAAAGATGCCACTCTAGCTGGAGCTTTATAAGAATTTTATTAAATTAATAAATATAATCCAAAAATTAAAAAAATATAAGGAAATTATTCCATATATAAATAATCAAACCTCTAGTATTCGTAGTTTGAGTAACAATAGTAGTCGGTTCTCCTTCACCCAGTCCTGTCGTTGCTGACACCCAAAACTCGTACAATTGACTAACATGTAATTTTATTTAAAATTTCTTTTTATTATCTTTTAACAAATAAAATTTGTAATGAAATTTTATAAAATCTTAATTACCTTTCAACTAAACCTCGCAATTCCATAGTAAGAGTGTCAGTAGGAGATGATGGTGGTTCATGCATGGTGTGTGTGTTATGATTATTAGAACCTGCCTCTCTACTATAAACTGTGTATTTGGAAACGTTCCCATTTGGTTGCAAGGGCGGTAACCACGAAACTAATATACTCTCTGCAGTTAATGCTAGAGCTTTAATACCAGCTGGAGGACCTGGAACTAAAATAGATAATTAGATTAATTTAATTGTTCTTAACAATATTTTTATTGACTTTGAAAATTTTATCAGTGAAAATTAAAGAAAAAAGATTCTTACCATCCTCTTCTGTAGTACAAAAAATTGGAGGACTCAAAACTCCATCACCAGCACCCGTGTAAGCCAATACTCTTATAGAATAATTCGTATATTTATACAGCGTGTGTAGATACGTTTCTACACTGGAAGTTTTTTTTACTTCACGTACAGTTGATATGTCCACTGGAAATAATTTTTTGACGCAAACAGTATGCTATTTTGTTCTTTTTAAAGATAAATATCCAATACTTGAATTACATACTATTGTCAGTAGGTACAGGTCTGTAATATACTTTGTAACCCTGAATAATTCCACCATGTTGATGAGGTGGAGGAGCGCTCCAAGAAACTTTTACACTTTGCGAAGATAAAGGAATACATGATACTTGTGTCGGTGGAGTTTCTGGCACTGATAATGAAGAAATGAAATAGAAAAAGTTGATTTATAATATATATATAAATAGAATATATAATATATATAAATAGAAAAAGAAGATTTTATTAAATTATGACATTAATAAAAAAAGAAGCTTTTTTGTGAAAGTTTATGTTTATCGCACCTCCTTCCTGAGTTGTTCCAACAATGGGAACGCTAGCTGGGCCGCTGGCTATGCTATTGAAAGCTCTGATCGATATATCGTACTTAGTGAACTTTCTCAAGCCGGTGAGTTGCACCTTTGTAGTCGCCCATCCGTTCACAGTTAAACTTTTACTTTGATTCACACCTGACGTCGAAGATGAATGCTCTGACCATGTCACTATGTAGCCCAATAGATCTCCGTTACAGGATTCTTTTGGAGGTGGCTGTGAATGTAATAAATCTTTCTTTTATAATTTGTTTAAAATTACATTGAAATTTTTAATATCTTTCCTTAAAACAAATTATTATTTATAAATTAATGAAACATTGAATTGATTAAAATTTACCTGCCAGCTAACCATAAGCTCCCCAGGTCCTGCTGATTGTACTTTGATATTTTGGGGTGGTTCAGTAGGTGCTGTTAAATATAAAAAAAAAAAAGATAAAAAAAATAAAAAAAATTGTTAGATAAAAGTAAATGCATTTAAAATATTTATATGTTTCTATACCTTCTTCTTGAGTTTTGGCGACTACAGGATCAGTGGGTACACTCACGTCTATCGAATTTATGGCAAATATACGAAATGTGTAAGTTACTGCTGGATGAAGTCCACCTACTAAAGCTACTTCCTGGTCGTCGCTGGTAGTTTCAAAAGGAGATAAACCTAGAAATAACGAATCGAATCGAATAACATTTTAAAAAAAAGATGGAAATTATATATTTTTTTTCGTAATTGGAAATACAATTACCATTTTGTGTTGGATGTATGGTGTTGCCATTATTCGAATGTCCAGGCGTGTAAGTAACGTTATGCGTTTTTGCGGGATTCCAGTCATCCGCCAAACCGTGATTCAGAGATCGATATTGAATAACGTAATTCCGTATTGGACTATTTCCGTCGAAAGCTCTTTTCCACAGTAATCGTATCGACCGTGATCCGATTTCTATGACTTCTAGCGAGGCTGGTGGATCCGGCCTCTCTGAACATATGGAATCATAATTAATTATTAATGATTACAGAAGAATTATAAACCAGATTCATTCAAATCAAAGTTAATAAAACGAGAAACTTATTGATATCATAAATAAATGATTATACAATATATTTGACAAGAAAAGAATATAATTGTATCAAATATTAAATTTTTTACCTTGGACAGCAAGATAAATCAGATGTTCGCTTCTGCCATAGGCATTATCCGCTGTGCATCTGTAAACGCCAGAATCTTGACGATCACTGCTTCCTATGGATAATTGGGACTTGAGACCGTTATCCGTTTTTATCTGACTAATGCTCAGCCGGTGATTATTCGTGTCTAAACGATCACTGTTGTGCATCCATTGCACTTCAATAGGGTTATCACCGATTACTGTACAATCCAAGGTCACGGATTCGCCACGACGAATAGTGACGTTCTTGCTCTGAAATTCGAATCTTGCCGGTTCTGTAAAGAGAAAAAAAAGAAAAATATATATATAATAATAAATATTTTTAATTAGCAAAAAAAAAAATGGTAAAAATCTGACAAATAATTTACCATGAACGGATACGTAGATCACTTTACTCAGACCAGATCCAATGCCATTATTCGCTCGACAAAGATAATGCCCTTCATCTTGGGGCCCAGCCGAAGCTGTCCACAGAGATCCATTTGGAAGAATGGTTAATCTTCCATCGGTACCATCGATCAAAGGTTGATAATCGTTCGAGGTTCTTTCCCTGGCACGCAACCAGGTGACACGCGGCGGAGGAAATCCTTTCGCCTCGCAGTGGACGTTCAATGGATTTCCCAGGAGGGTAGCCACGTCTTGCGGCTCGAAGATCCATTGTGGAGGCACTTTCACCAAAAGTTCGGCCGTGTGATTCACTTTGGCCGCGCTGTTGGTCGCCACGCAAGTATACTTGCCACTGTGCCGGGAGGAGAGTTCCTTGAAGACGAGCAGGCTGAAGAATTCGGCCACCCTCTCCTCGATCTGCAATGCGAACAATTGCTAGGGGAGTTGGTGGTTAATTTAGTGACGTTTGATTTTAATTTTTTTTTTATCTAATATTTTGTTACATGGGATAATTTGGATCGATAATAATGAAATTTCTTAGAGATGATGACGTACACGTAATGAGGAAGGTAACGGCTCGCCATCCTTCAACCAGGAGAAATAGATTGGGAGATCACCGGAAGTGACGGTGCAAGTGACTTGAGCACGACTGCCTTCTTGGAGGTTTGAAGGGAAATTGAAGGGGCTCATAACCGGTGGACCTGAAATAAGTGAAATTCCTCGTTTAATATTCTCTTTGATTTTCTTTATTTTTGTGCAAAAATTATTTATTGTTGCCAACGAAAAATATAGAGATACAAATTAATTTAATTTTTATTTATTTTGCTATAATTATTTTTAATTCAGATATAAAGAAGCAAATAATTATTGCGGTCAACTTTTATTAGTTTCCGTCCACGTGTATATAGCTTTAGCTTCCCTCCTCTAAACGCGATAAATGAGAAAAAGTTGGGAGAAGTAACGCTAGAGGAATTCTTTCGGACGTGCAATTTACTTCTTTCCCCTAGTCTCGTGACTTCTTCGCGGGCGTAGCCGACCCAACTGTAAAGAAACGAGAAACAAAAACTCGTTTCTCGTTAAAACGAATGTATATAAGTGGTGCAATAGTAACTACAATTCTAATCTTTACGAAGAATACAATCGTATAAGATAAACAATTAATACAAATACCATTGTATTTTGTAACATTTATTGCATAATATTCGTTCCTTGTATTATATATAATACAATATAATTTTAACATCCAAATATCTATCTCTTCAAATACTTTAAGCTCTTTTAAATGTTAAAATAAAATATTTTAATTTTTCCAAAATTAATATATACAGTCTTCCAAATATTTTATTAAATTAAATATTCCAATATGTTTTATTATTTGATAAATTTAAATTGAAAAATATAATTCAATCTTTTTAGAAACTCAACAAATATAAAAGAATCATTCCATTTTTATCCCAATATTTTTATCCAAATACTCACTGCTGACAGTCAACCGGATGTCTCTGCTCGCCGTTTCACCGGATCTCGCACGAACCATACAAGTATAAGTGCCGGCATCGTTTGGATCCACATTGGCGATGGTAAGATGGCCCTCACTGTCAACTCGGTGTCTTATGTCGAGAGGAAGCGCGACTCCTCCACGAGACCACTCGACTGACGTGATAGGATAGCCGGAATAAGGACAAGCGATGGTGGTATCGACACCGGCTATCGCACGAACTGGTCCTATCGATCGGATGTATGGCGGGCCTGAAATTATTAATCGACATGAAGTGCCTTCCGATACATTTCACCTTAATTGTTATTATGATTCACTTGTATACCTACTTATTATGATTCATATAATTAGCAATGATTAATATCGTTTACATTTGAGCATAAATTATTATTTATTATAAATAATATAATTAAAAATAATATATATTCTACAAAAGATTATCAATGTGTAATACGTAATATAAGAACTGAAGTATTAATATAATTAAAATATGTATTATGAGAATAATCAGATGTGATAAATTTCTCGTCCGAATGAAAATTAATATTAACCTTGTTTGGTAATTCTAATGTTGTTAATAAAAAGATAATAGAGTCTGCACACTCAATATTTCAAGCAATATTAAAAATAATATTAAAAATGTTACACGTTACATATTCATTGTTAAGGATAAACTATTCAGAAATTACACATAATTTATTTCTCATTAATTATTCATTTAACACGAATAATTCACGTATCGATCTAAACGTCTCTCGACAATTAAAATCAAGCTCGTATAAAATAATTAAACTTTATTACAAGTATAACACACAGTATATCCATCTATTTGAATTATAATCCACATTACGTGATATAACCAATCAAGATTATGATTCGAATTACCATAAATGTTCAATCTAGCTTTGTGCTCAACCGTTGCCAGGGTATTGGCAGCGACACAAGCGTAGAGGCCGCCATCTTCAGCCCCAGCCGACGATATGTTCAAATGACTGATCACGTCTCCGGACTGATCGACGTACTGTCCTATCGCGTACCTGTATCGGGCATTGTGCATCGGTTAAGAAGTGGAATATTGATCGATGGTTGATCCAGATACGAACCTATGTCCGGAGGCGATCTCGCTCAGAGGCTCTCCGTCCAGGAGCCAAGTAAACGACGGAGGAGGGGATCCGGTCGCTGAACATCTCAAGGATACTGGAGGACCTGGTCGCAATGCTTGCTCGATGAACGTGTATTGTAACTCTGGTACCGTGTCTGATAGGGGTAGATCGAAAATTGAGTATCGATTTGAGTAAGTATTTTATTGATAAGAAAATTTGCAATTTCCTAACTTTTTTTTTATTTTTATGATAATTGGTTTAAAATTATATACCGTTGAATGTTAAGAAACAAACGCTTGGATCCTTTTTTAAGTAAAAGTAATTAACTTCTTTTTTACCTCTCAACTCTTTTTTTTCTTATTATATAAGTAATTTTAATATAATAAATCGAAATAATTGTATTAATTGTTTACTTGTTAATAAAGAGAAGAGAATTATTCAGAGATGTTTGCGGTTATTAAATCACTTGGGAACGAAAGGGAAACATGTATTAATTAACGTTGGAATCGATAAATTTTGCTGCGGAGGAAGGATAAATGTAATAATTATCTCCCTAGTTGAATTTCCATTCGCTTATCGTTCAATAAATGATAATTTATTTTCATCTTTGTAAAACTTCTTTACAAACCGGATCATTCGAATTCTTTCCAAGATTTCCACAATCTTGTAGATCATTAATTTATCATTATTAATCTATTTAATACAAAAACAGCCAACTTTCTCATAAACCGAAATATCGGAATATTATTCGTACATAGAATATATTACCTCCAAGTTTCAATTCCGCGGTGGCCTGTGCGTTCTCCTTGTCGCTCCTGACCAGACACTGATACATCCCCTTGTCCTTTCGGCCGACCGAGCCTATCACGAGCACCAGAGGAGCCAGCAATCTGATCCTCGTGTCCTGCGCGGTCAATACGGGCACACCGTCGTGCAACCACTCGACGCTCTCGACCGGATAACCCTCGACCGTGCAATTCATAGTGGCCGACTCTCCGGAATTGATGATCTGTAAATACCGGGAAACGGTTAACGATTCGTGCTCGAAAGTTAATGCCCGTGCCACGCAGGCCAAGCGATCATCCCCCTTTGACGCGACACGATTGTCCATCCGCTTCGATGATGATCGTTGAACTCATGGTACATGGTTACGGCGTTTTCTCTTTTCCCTTCTTTTTTTTTTCCAGTTTGTTTCAAATTTAATCGATACCGCGGCGCGGATAGATTCTCCGCTCTGAAGTTTTAATCTTTGAAAGGAAAATGTGGAAAAGTTGTTCGTTGGAAATTTGTCGGAGTTTTTTTTTTTTTAGAAAGTTTTTTAGAAAGAGATGTTATTCGATTTTGAGCTTAAGTTAAGCTTAAGTTGCTTTCTAGAATCTGTAAATATTCTGTTATGATATCATCTTATTATGTTAGAATACAATATAGATAAGATTTAAATAGTTTATAGAGACTTTAAAGGTAGACGAGTAGTATAGGTCAATCGTTGGAGCAGGAAATAGAATAAGAATGTTATCGGTCAGATTATTAAATCCAAATATTAAATGCAATTCAAAATTTATAATTAATAAAACGTTTTCAATCTTTTTATATATTTTTTAAACAATCTAATGTTTAATATATTATCTATTACATTGCCTTTTGTATTTAACTATTTTTTAAATTACATCTGATAACTAATTGATTTAATTACCTGATACGGCTAAGACACTTTCTAGAAGATTGTCAAATGATAAAAATTGAGCGAGCAACTCCATATTGTTCGGTTTCTCTATATTTGGCCATCGAGATACAAACATCGTGTCTTTGAGTGGAAAGGATAGCGATCTGATATCTTGCTAGGATCAAACCGTATGATCTTTATGATAATTCCAGGATTCTGTGTAGTGGCTGTAAAAGTTAACAGTAACGGCTTCGATATCATAGCTGCCATTTATGATAAGTACTTCACTATTGTGGAGCACGGGGGTCTATTGTAATTGGATTTTATGGCTCAGAAATGACCACGATTGAATTTTCTAGCTTCCAGGGATTTTGTATAATCGATGGTTTAACGGGTGTCAAGCTTTATAATTTGCGAAGAAATTATCGTAATTATATCTTACATTTGTTTGTTTCTTTTTATATTTATATTTTTTATCATTTAATCATAAATATATAAAAATAATAACTAAATATATAAAATAATAACTAAATATAAATATAAAAAATCTAATTTGTAATATGATATATTTATAAAAAGAAATATTGAATTACAAAATCAAACATATATATAAAAATTATAGAATTAAATGTAGAATGAAAAATTTAGATTACAAGAATACAAAAATACGAGTTATATAATCGAAAACTCTACCTGAACACGAGGTTGTATACGCGCGTTAAGTTTTGACGTGACCGACAGGTGTGTTTCCGCTCGTTGCTCGCCGACCTGATTGCTGGCTCGACAAATGTACCTTCCTGCGTCCTGAGCATCCACGCGGCGAATTTGCATCAAATCACCCCACAGTTGAATTCGGCCAAATGACTCCACCGGTATCGAATGGCCTTCAACAACGAAATACCCGTTACTTTATGCCCGACACTCCTCCTGCTAACGCGGGTATCGCGTGTTACTATATTTTCGTCATTTTCACGCGTGTTTAAAGATAACCGATTCAAAGGAAATGATATTATCAACGCGAATTCACTTATACAAGTCAAATTTAACACTATGATACATAGAGAGATACATGATAGATAGGGATTCGTAAATAACGTTCAAAAATATTTATATGGGAGAATTGATGAATAAAACGTTCGATCGTAACTTGATTACACTTGTTAAAATGAATAATTACGAAAGTGATAATCGGCGTTGAATTATATAGCGCTACGGTACATTTAGATTACTCGGTAAACAATCCCCTAATTAAACCAACCGTTAACATCGCGATACCAAGCAAATTGCGGGGCTGGGTTCCCCTGGGCTGAGCAAGTTAGATGAACGTCCGACCCGCTTTCCGCTGAGATGGCGATCTGAGATCTCTGCATCAATCGTGGCGGCATAGTTCCTGTTGGCTCTAAAAATCGAATAGATTTTAATAAATATCATGATCTAACTTCTATTCGAATTCACACTTTGAATTTACATTATTTAAATTTATCTTTCTTTTCTTTTTTTTTTTTTTTTCAAAGTTTTGATAACATCATTGTAATATTTTTATTACAAGCACAAGAAAGAAAGTGTTACTTCTTTAGCAACGTGCCTGTGACCGTTAACGTGGCAGGCTCGCTCCTCCTCCTTTCACCGGTCAACGCGTGAAAAGTTAAGCACGAGTAGGTGGCTCTGCCGTCGTCGGGTCTGGCGGCTCTGATGTGCAGATCCCCCTGAGACGTGACCACGAATCTTCCACCTGTGATAAAATTAAATTTTCAACGAGAAAGAAAAACTTTTGATTCATTTGAATGCATATATAAGAACTTAGATAGTATTAATTTTAACTCATCGTGATTAAAGTTTATTTTTTAATATACCGTAGTACCTCCTCGTTCCAGACTTTGACCGAGTATAAATATTTTAATTACACACAACATTACACACATGATTTATGGTATTTATGAAGCATTTATGAACCACGTCGTCACCGATATCGCAATTTTTACCTGGTTATGGTGTGTTAATTTCCTTCAACATGTTTCATTCAGAAGTTCGGCCGAGTAAATATTTTAATTACAATCCCATAGTGATTTATGGCATTTATGAACGAGGTTGGCGAATAACATCGTCAAAATAACGCAATACGTCACCAGATGACGTTAATCTCCAGTATTTGACGCAGGGCTGGCTGCGCTCACGCCACGTTTCAAATAATCCCTTTGAAATAGCTTTACAAGCTCTACAACCCGATATATGTTGCACATCGTATCATTTAATTCGTTGTTCGATTTCACGCGTTTTTGCCCCCGTGAAATATCATTTTTCAGCGTTCCCCCGTTCTCGTTTTCCCCAGTTTTTTATTTAACTTGCATGCAATGACCACGCGCGCAGAAATACATCATATATTACGTTGTACATTAAAAACGATGAGAAACAAAATATTGTTTCGTCTCACGAAATTATTTACTGAGCGTGTATGATATATATATGAATACACGCGACGAAATAGAAAAAAATGGAGTACTTTAGATTTTAATTAATTTACAATAGAAATTATTTTTCCATCTTTAATTTATCGTTCGTAATAAAATTAGTTGCATTTTTCTGATCTTGCAGTTAATTTATGGGTGAAATTTATTTTTTGATTTAATTTTTAAGCGAATATTAAAAGAATATAAATTCTAATGTTCCTAACGTTGTATTTTTTCGAATGAAACAGTCGATCAAATTGATTTTGACTCTGATATTGAAAAATTCTTTAAAAATTGGAATTTTATCGAATTCAAAACGACGCACACTTACATCAACATATATTACGCGTGTATTAATAAAATACAAAATTTTGTACAAATGATTTATTTAAAACGAAATTTAACTTGAAATTTTGATTCTCGTTAATGCCCGTTGTGAATTTTTGATGAGCAATAAATTGTACACGGGATCGCGGAACGCTTTCGACGATTTATTAGTTAGCAGATATGAATGTGAAATAATTATATAATGAAGCAGTAAATGATAAATTACTCTTTGAAATATACGATATCAACAGTTATTTTGCATGATCTTGGTAATATATATATATACATATATCGTGTTATTCTAACGTAGCAACATTAGTTACTAGCGATACTAATTTTCAATTACAAATTGTCAAATTAAATTAATTATTTCACCTCGATATATCTTGGATATTAATTAATTTAATAATTAATTTATTAATTAATTTCCACAATTTGACAGTGAATCTTTCGATGTTTATTTTATTTCATCACGTCTTCTTTAAATAACAATAACATCGTTTAAAAATATTATTCGACAATTTAACACAACGTGTAACGAAAATTAAATTATATTTTCTAATTTCATATCTTCGATATCGTGTATAATCGAAATATCGATCGGGATTTCTGTTCGACCGCCTCCGGTGGAAAGCGGCTTTAGACTTAACCGGAAGCAGTCGGCTCGATCGGAAACAAAAGCTGGTTTATACGCGGATTTCACGGAATCGGGGAAATAACGCGATACCTTCGATATTTTCGTCTCGATTCCAAATCCGCGCGAGAGGTTATGCAAAATCCTCGGCATCTGTCGATGAAAATCCGGACGCACGTCAGGCGTGAAATTTTCAATTTAGTTCGAGCGAACGAACGAAAGGTCGATTCGCTGGACCTTCCTTCCGTTTCTTTTCAAGATAAGATTCCAGTTAAACTGCGTCGTTATAAACAGCCGGCCATTTTGAACGAGCGTTCTTGATTTCAATTAAAGTAAAATTACTCTCTCACAAATTTTATTATTATTATTGTCTTTCTTTTCGGTGAAGCTCGAATATCGTGATTCGGTGTGAATGTTTCCTTTTTTTTTTTTTTTTTTTTTTTTTTGACAGATTGAAATATGATAATTTTTGAAACTACGAGTTGAAAACGTGAAATTATAAGATACAATCAAACGTGAAATATAGAATTCTAAAGTTGGTTAAGTAAGTTATCAATCATAAAATTAAAATAGAACGAGAAGCGCTAGTAGTACAAGTCAACCATTAGTCAAGATATTCACAGATATATGACGAGTAGTACGAGCCAATTATCGTGACAAAAAAAAAAACAAAAGATGTTCGATCAGACAAATAATACGTAGAAATAAAAAGTGATAAGAATCACCTGAAGATTATTAAAATATCCGATTCAAAACATCCGAATCAAAATAGGATTATAATGTACACGATCTTATATCCGAGCTCGTTGAAAATTTACCGGTTTATCCGTTAAAGAGAAATGGGTGGCAAATCGGAGGAGAATCGTTCCTCGTCCAACGTTAATCCTCTTTTCTCTCGGCGAGAGGACGAGGCGTTTTGGAGGAGGGGACAAAAGTGCTGAGTGGATCGTGTGTCCCCGCTGTTTCACCGGTGTCTGGGGCAAAACGATGTGACAGCAGGGGAGGGGGAGGGATGCTCGGGGGTGTTGGCCTCCTTCGAGAAAATGAAAATGCGCCCACCAGACGCGGGAAAGTCTGTCGACAAAGCTGGTCGACAGACGTTTGACGGCGAGCAGCCGCCGGTGTGACTCGAAGAAAAACTTCAAAAAGAATCGATAGACCCTTTTTCCTCCCCCTCCCCCTTCGTTCCCCAGTTCCTGCGAGCCTCGAAGACGTGTCAGATCTTCTGATACTGGAAAGGATAATGGAAAGTCTTCGTCGTCGAAATGAAAGCGTTTTTTTTTTTTCGAGTTCGTTTGTTCGAATACGATGATACTAAGCCTTCTCACGCCGTTTTCCTCAAGAGATAACTTGGACTTTGCCCAGCTTTGTATGTTTTGTACGTTTGACTTATTGCTTCTTCTTGCAGCAAAATGGAATAATATATGTATATTTTCTTTTTCAATTCTTTCAACGCTGCGCCAAAAATCGAGGAGATGGATATCAACCCTTTGCGCTCGAGAGACGAGTCTCAGCCGTCTCATCGTACAATGGTTCGAATGATAGGGCCTAATTGGACAAAAAATTATTTTTTTCTTACTTTTGATATTTTGAGCTTATATGAAGATTCAATTTTTAGAAAGCAGAAATATTGCTTTTTATTATAATTTATTATTTCATTAAAAATGTATGTAACATATAAAGATATAATTAAATATATAAAAAAATTGCATTTAATTAATATAGAAGAATAAAAAAGAAGATAAAAATATATATAGAAAAATAAATATCATATAATACAATACAACTTGCCACGACGTTTCATGCGGCAACTCGAATGGCGAGTGATTTATGCTAGATTTCGTTATCTCCAATTAATAATATTATTAATTTATAAATAGATTTTTTTTTCTTATATTAAGAAATGTATAAAATCATTTCGAGTCGCCATTTCGACCGATTGGAAAAAATTTTGTATATAAAACGCATCTTATCGCAAACATGTTCAATCCTATCGCGAAATTGGAATACGATCAAGTCTCCTCTTTTGAATTTTCGAAAAGTCACTGCGACTTGAACGAGATGGAACGAGGAAGAGAGAGAGAGAGAAAAAAAGAAAGAACAGGGCATACAGCCCGATAAAGCTCGAATCGACGTAACCATGGGTCCATTTCCTCCGACATCCACGTATCCAGGCCGATGCCTCGTCACACAGACGACGTACCAACGAATGTAGCCGTGCTTCCGGTTCGTATTACGGGCGTCGAGCTCCGGGTTACGAGCTATTTATCTCCGTATTTTTATTCCGTCGGGGAAAGGCGATATTAAATTGCTTCTTTCGCGGCCGTTTCGCTCCCCCTCCCTGAAGAAACTTAACCCTCGTGACTGACTAGCAAGCAACCTTACTTTCCTATTTCTTTCGCCTAAATATATATGTATGTATATTGTATTTGTGACTACATTTGTTAAGAAAGATTTTGTAGGAATAAAAATACCTATTATTTTTGGGAAATAAAGATTCGTTGGATTCCTTGTTCGAGGGTAAATATAGGTGGAATTTGGTTTTGAAAGATGGTGGAACATTTATTCGTAGCTATTATATTTGATCCGTATTATCTTTGGTATTATTTAATATTATGTTTTGAACGTTTAAGTTATTGAAATTATGGAACTTACTTTACTCGTAACTTCTAACTATTAAATTTTGCCCATCAATCCTGTTGCATCGTCCAATTCGCCGATTCCTATGAATTTATTTATACAGAAATAATCTCATGCACGTCTCGCAATTTCGTAAGTTGAATCCAATCGTCTCTCTCAAGTCTCCTTTCCAATCTCCTCGCGTTCTTGGAGATCGCTCGAGATCGATATCTCAAACTAACCCGTTCGATTCTCAATTCTCGTTCATCAGGACGATCCATCCACTCCAATAATAGTCGCAAGATACTCGAAACGTATCTTAAATTAATAATAATCTCGAACAATTATTGAGAATTATAATCGAAAAACGTATAGAACGTTCCAATGCTATTAAAAATTTCCACGTTCCAAAAAGCTTCCCCTTTTTAGGGGAAGCTTAAGAAAAAAAAAAAAAAAAAAATCTTCGAGGAACTCGTCCTTCGACTCGAATTTCGTCGAACGAAACTTCAACGCTCGATAATTACGGGACGAAAGCGGGGCACGGGGGGCGCGCCACTCTTTCCTTCGCGCGTGCTTCCGGCTCAACAGGAAGCAATTTTCGTATACATAACAGAGGGTGTCGTTTACGTAAAAGCTTTGAGAGTTACTTTGTAAAATCTTCGAATGCCCGACGGACGCACGTTCGCGACAGATTCTCCAGGCACG